TCAAAACAGCAAATCTAGGCAAAAACAAAAATTGCTGAATCTGAAGAAGTTCAATTAAATGCTTGTCACTAGAAATTATAGATCCAAGAAGAGATACAAACATGCCTTTTAGTCCCTTTGCCTATCATTTTCTTCATTACCCTCATTTTGGTGAGACAAAAGGTGATAGCTTGAATGTGAAGAGGAATGATTATTTGGGGAAAAAGCTTGCCCACTGTTAGCATTCAAAACCTACAATTTAGTAGAAAGAAATTTAGGGATAACTAAAATTTCAAAAATTCAACCAAAAGAAATGAAAAAACAAAAAAAAAGAGATTTGAGAGATTAAACTTCAAAAATAGTGAAACCCGAACAAAGAGGTATAAATTAAACTTCGAGTATTAAATACCTCTTGATGAGCCGCATGTGCCTATGAAAAAATAAAATTCAATGAGTATAGATTTCCATGAAAATTGAAAAGAACAAAAACATAAGCTCACCAAAAACCAAAGTAAAAAATATGGGAAACTACAACTTAAGACTAGAGCTATAAAAAAGAATAAAATATAAGCTCAAAAATTTTTTTTCATTGATTTTTTTTTTTTTTACTGATGGCCACATTTGTCAGAGCAAAACTCCCAATGAAAATGCTATTTGTCATTTGAGCAGTGCTAGGGGCACTCGCCTCCTGCACTCTTCGGCCAACACTCATTTCATTGGGCCACATTATTTTAGTTCGCCAAGAGGTTGCACTTCAGAGCTTAAACAACCTTACATGGCCTAATGAAAAGGGGAGTGTTGGTCGGAGAGTGCAAGAGACGAGTGCCCCTAGCACTGGCCTTGTCATTTACCAAACCATATATATGCAAGAATACAAAGAACTCCTTAAGAAATAGTGAAAACTGAAAACTAAAATAATAATAGCATCAGAAAGTAATTAAATGGTTCAACGAAGAAGTTTACCTCTCTATCCAATCTGTTGGCAGCAGCTAATTCGTTGGCAGCTTGTAAAATATCTGTGATATTGTCATTAGGGAATCTTGCCTTCATTAGCTGCATTAATCCACTCAATATATTCTCTACCTCACTCAACCTTTGCTTAACATTGCTGTTTGTAAGGGTGGAAGGGAGAGATTTTTTGGAATTTGGGACCTTGCTTAAGCAGCGAACCCTCCCTTTCTTGTCAGATCCCTTCACCTTAGAGAATATATCATCTTGCCAAGATGTAGTTTCCTCCAATGCACTTGCAGAAGAAGTAGACGCACTCATGCAGTTTTTAAGTTGTTCTTATGACATTTAACCCAAAATGACTTATATATATATAAGATGAAGAAAGGTATACATCATTAAAAACATAGAATTTATGTGTTTACTAACCATCACTTGGCTTGCCTTTTCACTTATAGGTCCCCCATCCTTTTTCATTCGACTTTAAATGTAGAGTTCAGCTCTTGATGGCTTTCTTTCTTTAGCAAGCAAGCAGTAAATAATTAAATACCACATTGACTTTGACAGTAAAGCATGTAAACTGCTTTTTTAATAAAGTAGCTTGAACAAAAAAAATCACCTTCTCATTGAAAAATCGTGCAAAAGTCCTAGTGCCTAGGCAATAGGGCTCTTCAAGTTTTTGCCTGTTTTCTTTATTCCGTTTGCTAATTTTCTAGAAGAAAACGAAAAGTAGCAATTATTTGTGATAACAGAAAATTAGGAAAAATGTCAATAGCATAGCAAAATTGTCATACCTCTCCCTTCTCACTACGCCAATATTCAACAAGCACATGAAATTGCTCCTTATCAACTCGAGGATCATTAATTTTTTCATACATTTCATCTACTATTAGCAACGGATCAAATCCTGCGCTTTTTAGCTCATTTTTATAACTTTTCCATTTTTCATTTACATCGGTCATAATCCAACTCTTGATTTGCTCCTTGCGGCTTTCCTCAATAAGGAACTTGGACTAAAATTAGAAACCACAAAAATAAAATGAGATTAAAAAAGACTAATAATAATAATGGCCGAATATCATAATAGTGAAGAGTCCTCTTTGGACCCACAAAACAAATAGCACAGATTTTTAAATTCAACCCAAACCTCTGTAACCAAATAGTACAACCAATAACCAACACAAATCACTGGACATGTAGCCACACAAGAAGCTGATCCACCATAACTAAAACCGAGTCTTATTCATCCTACATAGATGATTATAAAATCTAAACCAAATAAGCTCCTTTTTCCACATGTAAAAACGAAACTTTCACCCAAAAAAACTTATACCAAACAGAAACTCAAGGCCAATTCAAACCCTAATCTCAAGCAACTAGTTAACCATCACAATAAAAATAATAATAGAATTGGAAAAGAAATCAGTTTTCCATATTTGAATATTTTTAACACAATCAGAGACTAACCCAATCATAAGAATTACAAATCTGAACCAAATAAAAGAAAAGCATCCTATGTTAAGCAAAAGAAAAAGAAACAAAATGAACATTAGAAAAGATGGAACCTTTTATTAATATTACCACAGAATCAACCATTATCAAGCTAAATACTACATTTAATTTGAGGTTAGAAGAATAAGTAGCATAGAAAGCTAACTAAAAATGTAGAGAAAAACCAAAGAAGACAAAGGAAATGGAACTAGAGCTCAACTTGAGTCAATTGGAAACGTAAAATCTAACATAGCTAAAAACAAAAGGTTTTTCTTTAATATAGCTAATTAAATATGGAAGTAATATACCAAATTTGCACCAAGTTTACTAATTTATTAAGAGTACAAGCCAATTTTTTTTTTTTTTACCTCAATAATCTTCCACATGTCATCCTTATAAATTTGAGGCATATCCCTCCATTCCATGTAGCTAATAGGTGCAACATCTGCTTTTCTTGCAACAGTACCAAGGAATTGAGTTAAGGTGCAGCCTTCTTTACCAACTGGGTGGCAATTTGCATCAAATATGACATTAACCTTGACACTTTTATCCAACTCCCATATGTGGGAAATCAATGTTGGACCTCTTGGCTTCCTAGGTGGTGGAGATGGTGCTAATAGTAAATGCATTAACAAGTTATAAGTTCACATAAATCCATCCTATAGATTTGGAAAACAACAATTTAAGTAAAAACTTTTACCTCTAGATTCTGTTTCTTCTAGGACAGCATGTTGATGAATTGACTAACCCTCATTGTTTCCAAATGGAGCAGATTGTTGGCTTGGCTCAACCTCATTGTTTATGGATGGAGAAAAGGGCAAACCAGCTTCAATTTTGTTGTTTGGTCGGACCCTTACAAGATTGAGATGCTTGCACTTTGGCATCCTAAAAGGGCAAAAAAAAAAAAAAGATGAATATAATGAGAATTTATATTCTAATGTTGGAATATATACTGAAAAAGCAAGCCAAGTTTATGAACTCACTAGAATTACATAAATAAATTTATAACAATCATTCAACCAATATTCAAATAATTGAAAAGGTAATAAATACTACTAAGATTAATTTGTCAAATAAATACAAATTTATTAACAATTAAATAATAAACAAGCAGTAAATTAAATATTAATTATTTTATTAACAATTAAATTAAAATAAAAATTTAACAATTTTAATAACCTTAACAAGTCAATGATAATCATAACCATGTCCTATAGAACATATAAGAGCAGCCATACAACTTCTGGTTTCTTATTTTCAAGAAAGGAAAAACATGGGGAATTTTTACTTAAGGATAAAAAAAAAAACCTTCCAGTTGTATCTCTGTGATTGGCACTAACTCCATGGCTATTGTTTCTGCAAGATCGATATTTTCTTATTTCATAAGCTAGCTCTTTCAAACCTAAACTCTAATTTAATTTGTCAATAGAGCTAGTGTCAATGTCAAATGCCACCAGCCACAGCATTAAGAGAGACCATTTTTTTTTTTTGTTAATCTTTTTCCACCTTGCTTGCTTCTCAATCATATACAGGGCAAAAAGTTAAAACCCCACATTTTCCCATCTCCTAACAATCAGTAAGTAAACAATTCAGATTTTCATAGACACACAAGCAGCAAGATATAGAGATTAGTTCCTTCAACCAAGGTTCCTTGTTGGGTGGACTAGGGACTGATTTTAATAAACCGAGCTGTGATGTTAGATAAAACTGAAAATTTAAGTACAATATATCAAGGTGATATGAATTCAAGTGTCAACTAAACAAACCTGATTTGCTTGCTTCAATGGGTTTCTAACCAATTCATCTACGAACTTGACCTCATGGCTATTAGCTCATTGCCCTCCATGCACAAAATGTCTCCTTCCTGCCTGGACGGTAGTAATTAAATTTTCTTACTGTTGAATTCGACTCAAGATTTTCTATCATTCACCAAGCAATAGATCAGGATGGCTTATGATTAAGCTTGTTCAAGAAAATCGACAAAAATATAGGGACAATTAGAAACTTCTTGCAAAAATCTTGTGTTCAAGTCCCCAATTGATAACCTAATTAGGACAACAGAAGATATGAAAAAATGCAAGAAACCTAGTTGGCTTTTAAATTAATTTGTGAAACTAGTCAATTTTTCAAAGGGTACTTTAACATTTAATCAGACTTGGTTCCTAATAAAGGGTCGGACACCAGAAGAAGGATTAAGTCTGACTGTCTGACAGGTATATGTGTATAAAGTACATGTATAAATGTACTAACAAAAGAAAAAGCACATGTATGAGAGTTTGGATGACTGAAAATATAATGTTTCGTCATTCATGCAATTTCAAAACTCAACTAATACCTGGAGTAGCTCAAATTAATTTGTCAATATTGACAGGTTAGCATTGAATACTAGATCTCATAACTTCAAGTTGTTTACAATTTTCTTGCTAGTATTAGTGTATATGCACATGTCACCAAAACTTACGCTTTAAATATCTCAATGCAATGATGAATGCAATGTTAAAAATCATCTAGAATCCTATTAAAGCTACAACTGATGTCCAATAGTAGTATTCCTTGAAGTTTAACCCAATTTTTCTCAAAATTAAATGCACTAACGTCTCGTTTGATGAGACCTACAAGTGACAATGATGGCTAAACATGAAGCTAGAAATTCATTTGCTACAGTTTCTATTTCACCAACAACACTACTAGTTTTGTGTTTCACCTTTTGCCACCTTGGAACCAGAAATTCATTCACCATTATACCTATTTTAGCATATGCTAATGGGGAAATCCAAAAGCCCCATTTCAGCCAAATAGGTACTGAAGCTACAGTGAAGAACATCTTAATATGTTAATTTGAGTGCATTAAATCTTTTGGTGTGTAAGTCATAAAAAGACTTACATAGTGGAATCACAAAACTGCCAAATAAAAAGATCACTGATAAAATAAATAGGCAAAACTTGATCCAACAGTGGAATCTTGAACAATGAAAGCAATTAGATGGAAAAGTGATATCATGACTTGATGAAGGAGGAAAAGGGTTATCAGTTGTTGAAAAAACCTAAAAGGAGTACTGAGACTTAGAAAGGATAAAATATATTTATCCATACTTGGAAAAAAAAATTTTCTCTTCAGAAAGCAAACCTTTTTGGTTCAGGACTATAACCAATCACATAATATGTAAGAACCGTCCAAAGAAAAGCATCCAGGAATGAAAAAGGAATCTTTAGAATAGCTGCTGGAATTGAATAAGCCTATGTTGGATAGAAGTAGAAATCTCTTTACTAGTAAAATACCACAAGTTTGGAGACAATTAATGTCACGCCCCCAACTTAGGGGTTAGGACATGACAATGCCACATACCTTTATGAGTGACCCCAAAAGCATGTAAGGCTAAATCAATCTCTAAAATTCATCCTTGCAGCTTTGCATAAAATTTATTCTTCACTTTTAAGAAAATTAATAGAAAAAATATATATATATATATGATAATAATACTCCAG